ATCAGGATCGGACAGTAAATCAAGGTGATTACTACAATACCTTGAAAAACAAAGCCATGTAAGCAAACTACAGAAGTATAGAGAAGTGGCTTGCATAGAGTACACATGGAGCATCTTACACCAGCTTGATCATCTTGTCTTGTTGGTTGTGTTTACAGTAGCCTTACTTAGGAGTCGTAGGATATAAATATGAAGAAAATTAGGATGCTTTGGGATGGGTAGCTGAGACTATTACGTTGTACAGTGCTGAGCAGGTTGCAGTTGGACATTCTATAAACATGTAGGCTGTGAGACGCTTTAATGCTTTTTTTGTCAGCAGCATACTGCTTTAAGAATCTCTGTGACACTGGTTAAGGAAAAGTTTGAGGATTGTTTTTAGGACATCAGAGTTCCCAAGCAGTGTATTACCCAAGACTGAAGGAGCCAACAGTGTGTTCTAATTTATAATAATTTAGTCTTAGTATTACCACTGCCTTTTTATCTTACACAATTATATCTTTAGCCATGGAGTCTCTTTTGCATATTCATGAGTACAGATGAATCTGCTCTTTTTATTTTCCTTTTTTATTATTGTTTTTATTATCCTAATATTTTTTATTTGCCGCTTTTCCTACTTGAATTCCTGTTCCTTAAATATTGGTGGCTTAGAGTCGTACGCAGTACTTCATCTAAAGTCTTCTCAGAACCTTACTAGTACTTCTTTGCTGGCACTGGAAATAGCTCTGTCTCAGCCAAAGGCTGCATTTGTCTTTCACTGTTGCATGACCTTAATGCTTCATGGTCCAATTGCAGGGTATGGTTGAGCCCCCCAGCCAAGGTGGTGGTACCTTGAGGAAGCATATGTAGAAAGAGCAAAACCAAGATACAGGCAAAATGAGTAAGGAAAAAAGTGAACGAACCAACTCTGCAGGCCCTGGGGCGAAAGGAGGAAGAGGGGGAGGCAGTGCTTCAGGAGCCAGAGCAGAGATTTCCCTGCTGTCTCTGGAGAGCCCAGGAAGGAACAGGTTTATCCTGAAGGACTGCAGCCTGTGGGAAGGACCCACGTTGGAGCGGGTAAGGAATGTGGGGAGGAAGGGGTGCAGGGAGGAGCTGTTATGGACTAACAACAGCACTGGTTCCCCATCCCACTGTATCTGTTGGGGTGGGAGAGATAAAGGAGTTGGGAATGAAGGAGTCAAGTTGAGCCTGGGAAAAAGTGTGTGTGTGAGGTGTTTTTACTTTTGTCTTTGTTTCTCACCATACTACTCTAATTTTAATTCGCAATAAATGCAGTTTCCCCAAGTTGGGTCTGTTTGGCCCATGACAGTAGTTGCTAAGTGATCTCCCTGTCTTCATTTTGACCTATGAGCTTTACATCTTATTTTCCCCCCTGTCCTGTTAAGGGGAGTGAGTAAGAGTGGCTGGGTAGTAGTCCAGCTGCTGACCAAGGTCAACCCACCACTAGAGATTGCGGCATCAGCTGTACTATTGCTCATGCGCCACTCATGACAACAAGGAGCTGATGTGACACAAGGACTCTGGTGCTGAGGAATATTAAAATTTAGGAAAATTTGTTCCTAGTCTGCCGGAATTGGCAGTCTGAGAATTTGACTTGCAAAGGCTCCTCATAAGCAGAGACCTTTTAAAGGCGTTTGTGAAAGAAGTTCTAGTGCAGGTAAAACATCACAGTATTATAAAACTCAGTTGTCAGGTTAACCTGTGCTGGTATGCTCAGAATGTACAAACTCTTCCAGTAGGGGTGCTGGCACTTTAGGGAGACCTGGACAACAGACCTGTGAGCAGATGAGCACCTGACTAGAGAATAAGTGAGCAACGCTTTTATAAAACCAAATGTTATTTTGATGTACTAGTCTGAATTTAAGAAAGCTGTGTGGTTTGTTTTTAAAAATACTTGTGAACATAGGTATATCTATATATATAAATTTTAAAAAGTATTGACACTCAGCCTTGTTTGGTAAGGGCAGTAGAGGAGATCTGTAACTTTACAAGGCTCCAGCATGAGCTCAAGTTAAGCAAGGCTTTGGGATGTCCTGGCTTTCAGTGGTTTCTGAAGGATTATGGTAATCGGATGATGTACTGGTTTTGTGGTGGGGGATAGTTGAGAACAAGAGAAATAAGATTATTTCTAGTGGATGAATGAAAACTCCCAAAGAGAAAATGCTGATTGTAAGGAGAAGGAAGAAATCAAGAAAATCAGGCTGCACTGGAGAACCTGGCAACCTACATTTTAGTTGCCTTGTTCAGATTTCATATATTTTGGAAAGCAAGCTATAGGAATGATATATGTTCTTAGGCATCATAAATTTCAGTTTACATTCAACCACCCCAGTCTCCATGGAGATAGAAAAAAGGACTATCTTTTTCACAGCAGTGTGTCACATGGGGCCAGGACACTGCTCAGTGTCTGTGGTGTCCTTATGATGCTCTGAATGCATGCTGGAGTAGTTACAGGAGCTGTGGCAGCTTGGAGATGAAAGGTAGCTTTGCTGAAGGTGGAATGGGTTGCGCAGGGAAGCAGGCACTAGAACAGGTTCCCAGGGAAAGTTGTTGCTTTCCCATGCCTGGAAATGTTCAAGGCCAGGTTGGACGGGGCTTGGAGCAACCTGGTCTAGTGGTAGCTATCCCTGCCCATGGTTTGGAACTAAGTGATCTTCAAGGTTCCATCCAACCCCAACAATTCCGTGATTCTGTGAAGCCTCAGTAAGCACCAATGACAATAAGTAAATTCTGGCAAGGTCTTTTACATGTATCACCAGTAAAACAAATTTTAACATCATCTTCCTAGGAGCTGGTTATGAAAAGCATCATGTTAACCCCGGAGAGAGCAGTTCTCCGACATCTGGCTATCAACATGTAATTATGAGTGGATAAATAATGAATTTCTGATTGCAATGGCTGCTATTAGATGTTGCCTTAAAAAACTGCAGGAAGAGTGCAAGTTATTTTGGAAGTTAGTTTTGCTTTTTCATGAGTTGATCTGCTATTGTTGGATTTCCCAACAAGGTTTCCGCAGGAACCTTCTATCAGAATTAGAGGGTATTTATGTATGATGACCAGAATCAATGAAGTTGTTGTCAAAGATCAAAAGGATTCAGGGAAGAAATAAAGGAAGAATCTGAAGTTTCTCTAGCCGTGAAAGATAATTATGAACAAGAAAACTGAATGCACGTGGATAAGGAATTGACTGCCAAAAGGAGAAGGATATTGCTAGTCAATTTTTAATAATGGAATTGAGTTAGTTGCACTTAGTCTAGGTATGTACCTGTTCTTTATCATTGCCTTTAATGATAAGCAGTCATGAAACAGTTTGCCCAAGACTGATTCCCAGCCATTTCAGCTCCTGAAATGATATCTGGAGGAGAGTTAAACAAAATTACACAAACAACAGGATGAAGTGGTCTCTCTGCCAGAAGCTGAACTGAATGCCATAGTGGTATTCCTGGCTTCCACCTTTACGTATGACCCAATTTTCCCTTCTCTTTTTTTTGTAGAGCCTATAGAGCTATGTGAGAATTATTTTAAGTTCCCACTATGATGAACTACATTAAAAAGAAGTAACTTTGTCAAAATGAAAACATTTTGGAAAGTAATACTTTTTCGTATTTAATTTGTAATTAATGTTGTATAAACCCACACAAAGATACGGGCTACTTAACATATATTCATATTCACAAACTGTAGAATGAAAAATGCAGGAAAAAAGTGGATTAATCAAGCATCATTTGAAATGTCACCATTTCCATATCATGTAATGATAATGAATTTAGTATACCTGGGCATGTTTCACTACTGTTGCAGCAAAAGGAGCATGACCAGCAGGTCGTGGGAGGTGATTCTTCCCCTCTACTCTGCTTTCGTGAGACCCCACCTGCAGAGCTGTGTTCAGTTCTGGGTCCCCAGCGTTAAGGACGTGGACCTGTTGGAATGAGTCCAGAGGAGGGCCATGAAGGTGCTCTGAGGGCTGGAACACCTCTCCATTGGAGACAGACTGAGAGAGCTGGGATTGTTCAGCCTGGGGAGATGTTAAAGCAGCCTTCCAGTGCCTAAAGGGTGATTACAGGCAAACTGGGGAGGGGCTTTTTACAAGGGCATGGAGTGGTAGTACAAGGGGGAGTGAATTTAGGTTAGGTATTGGGAAGAAATTTCCTGTGAGACTGGTGAGGCACTGGCACAGGTTGCCCTGAGAAGCTGTGGCTGCCCCATGCCTGGCAGTGTTCACGGCTAGGCTGGATTCAGCCTTGAGCAGCCTGGTCTTGTGGAAGGGGGTTGGAACTGGATGCTCTTGAAGGTTCCTTCACCCCAAACCATTCTACGTTACTATGAAGATTAACGACTTTCACGTGGAACATGAGATACAATTCCATGGCCGCTGCCGTGGTGCATCCTCGCACGCTGGGTTTGCCTCGCGTGTCCCCATTCTTCTCCCTTTCCGCCCACGGGGCTCTCCCCGCCCGCAGGTGCCCGTGGGGGCCGGGCCCCGGCGGCATCACGTGCGGATGCAGGAATGCGGCGGGGGTCTGGAGGGGGGGTGGCTGTGTGGAGGCGGTGACCGCCCGCCCCGCCGCGACCGGCGGGCTGCTGCGCCAACCGGGAGGCGGTGGCGTCCCCCGCTGACCCAATGGCGGCGGCGGCTGCCCGGGAAGGCGGTAACAGCGGCGGCGGCGGCGGCAGCGGGCGGGTCTCCGCCGGGACTCAGCAGCTGCGCTCGGCAGCGGCCCGCGGGTGGGGTGGGTGACGTGTCCAGGAGCGGGGGAGCCGCTGGAGCCCCGGCGGGGCGGAGGGGGCCGGGTGGCGGCCTCGGAGCTCCCGGTGTCGGCGTTGCTCGCGGCGGAGGAGGTGGGTGCTCGTTCCCTCTGCGGCTGGCTGCAGCCGGCGGGGAGCGCCGGGGCTCGCTCCGGTGTGTGTTAGTCACGGGAAGTTCGGTTCTCCGAGACTGACTCGGTGGGGCCAGCCTGACCCGTTCGGTGCTGCGAGTGCCTCGGCGGGGCTGCCCTGCCCAGCCCAGCCGGGTGCAGGAGGAGAGGAGGCGCGGGGTTTGGGATGTATCATTAAGCGGGTTTTGCCAGTGTAACGCGGCTTGGCGAGCTGCTGGAGCGAGGCTGCCAGGATCGTTAGCAAACGCCTATACTCTTTTCTCGAACTTCCAGCTCTTGATCCCTGGTGAAGTCTCTTCCCCAGGGTTTTCTCTTGTGTGTATCTGCCTCTTCGTGTTCGCGGCACCGGGAGCTGCCTGGGTCCAGCTCCTCTCCCCTCTTCAGCAGGTATGGATAAGGCTATTGAAAATCCAAACTCCCGCGGGGACGTTTCTTTCCACCCCCTTTCTCAGAAGCTGCGTTCAACACCAGCTGTGTAGATGGCATCCGCAACTAAACTGGGTTTGTTGAAACAGGGGTCGGCACAGTAGCAAATGTCATTTATGGTTTTTTTTTGTGGGTTTGTTTTTTTTTTGGTGGGTTCTTTTTTTGTTTGTTTGTTTTTTTCAAAGAAGGGTTTAAGTTTTCCTTGGTTTCTTTGTAATTAACGCTTTAACTGTTGGAGGAGTTACAGAGTTGCCTGTGGTGAACCTGGACCATACAGTTACTCTTGAAAGATGCCATGTTATAAGGCAAGAGCAGCTTTTAAGGCTGACCAGTCATTCACCTGGGCCAGTGCTTTAGCTTTGTCAGTAGGCCATACCGAGTGCTTGGAAAAACAGCTATTAATAATTTGCCCATAGCAAAGGCTTATTTTAAAGGCCTTTAGGTGGTGCTTGTCCATCCTAAATTCCTTCTTCTTTCATTTAAGAATTTGTTCAATCAATTTTTTTTTTCCAAAGCTACAAGGATCCTGGCTTTTATCTTGTGCTAGCAGGTTTGAAGTTGTATAATTACAACATAGAAAGTATCTTCTTTAATTCTTTCAGTTGTACAATTTAACTGCTATCTTAAATGGTGTAGGGGTTTCCTGCATGAGTCAGGAAATAAGAAAGATTGACTGTTTAACAGCTGTCTTCTGCTGACTAAGCACAGTGGGGATGTACCAATGTATGTTAGTTTGTGACTGTTGTTATTGTAAAGAAGCAATAATAATGTTTTCCCAAAGCCATTACCGTGCTTAGTGAACCTCAGTGAGTGTCCTGTTCTGCAGCAGAAATGAAGTATTACATCTTTCAAATTTTCTGTTGGTGCTCAAGACACAGATTTATTGCCTGAACATGGGACTCGTTGGGTGGTTACAACTGCAAGCCCATTATTCAGGCAGGGGTTCTGGCTGTTCAGCTGTGTTCTTCAATGGGCTCATCATTCTTTTCACTTGGGTGATCTGTTTGATCTTGATAAACTCTCTGACTTGCTTTGTTTAATCCGTCTTGTCTTTTTCTTTCCTTTCCACCTTTGGCCTCAGTAGCCCATGTGCTAGTTACGTGTGTTTGTCTGGTTATGGACAGTAGTTCTTTAGGTGCTACAGTAAAACCTGATATTTCTGAAAGCTTTACAGTGAGATTTCAAGACTTCTATAATATAGTCCATGGGTTTCTGAGCTTCCCTGTGGTGATGTATGTGAGATATGACCTACTATGTGAGTGGCAGCAAGTGTCGTGTGATGGGGCAGGCACTGGCTTTCATGGCTGATACACACAGGTGGATGCGGTGGGAGAAGGGATTGTGGAAGCAGATAGATGCTTGAGGCATGTGCTGTGTCAGCTCCTGCTGAGTGCAATGACCTGGCAGGATCCTGTAGACTGGGGCTTGGGGAGTTCATACACAACAGGATACAGAGAGGAGGTGTAGTGCTACGTGATGGGTGTGTGCAGGCTGGTCTCACAGCTCTGAGACATAGAGACCAAATGCACAAGTCTTGTGCTACTCCCTGCAACAGGTCAGTGGTGAGCACACCCAGGTAGTGAGGAGGCAGTTGCCTCCCTCAAAGCTCATGCACAGGAGCCCTCTTCTCAGTAGTAAGTGGTTACTCCCAGCAGGTGGGATATGGTTTTGCTCATCAGTAAACGGTGACAATCGTTTCCTAGAGTAGAATACTGTGAAACAAGATGTAGCATTTATTGAGATTTAACTTTAAAAATCTGGAGTATTACATAGATAGTATTAAGATTCTGATTTTTATTGTAATTGAAACCAAGGTACCTCAGCTTCTTGGTTTATTTCCTTCTGGCCCATTAACTTCAGTGGAAATGTACAGACTTACACCAGCTTGAAATATTAAGTTTAAGCACTTACTTAAGTCATACGTCAAATATAAAAGGTTCTGATTATCCTAAACCTAGTAGCTGCATAGAATCGTAGAATAGTTAGGGTTGGAAAGGACCTTAAGATCATCAAGTTCCAAACCCCCTGCCATGGGCAGGGACACCTTGCACTAAATCATGTCACTCAAGACTCCATCCAGCCTGTCCTTGAGCACTTCCAGGGATGGAGCATTCGCACCTTCCTTGGGCAAGCCATTCCAGTGGCTCACCATCCTCACAGTAAAGAGCTCCTTCCTTATATCTAATCTAAACTTCCCCTGTTTGAGTTTGAACCTTTTATCCCTTGTCCTGTCACTACAGTCACTAATGACGAGTCCAGTCTTCAGTAAGGTATAGCCTTAGTTTTGAGTAGGCTGAATGTTAGATATAACAGCAAGTTGCTCTTTTTAGCAGCATTTTCTTGGTTATTTTATAGGGTTTTTTTGGTTGGTTTTCAGCTGTTTAGGAATCCTTACGTAGCTGAAGAAAGGCAACAAGCTTGTCTAAAACCTGAAAGGCTATTGTCAAACTTCATAATTGTTAGAGGAATTTAATGCATCTGAGAATAGTGCATTACTCATTTGTAAAACAGGAAGTCTATTAACTGATTCTATATAAAGTAGAAATTATTTTTAGAACCCATTGTAAAAAAATTATAAACTTTAGTCTATTTCTGAAGAAGCCAGGAAGCAAATTCTGCAATCCAGGAGGAGAAAGAGTAGTTTTGTTTCAGACTTTCAGGTTAAAATGTATACGGTGTTCAGAGCTGCCGTCAGTTTGTTCATGCATGTATAATACTACACTGCTCTCAGTTTTGTATGTGGTGGAAAAATGAGCCGTGTGTAATACCTATTTTGTTCATTTTTGCATATGTAGAGTAATAATTTTCTTCTTCTGTAAAGCAGCTTATGATTCACGTTTTGCTTTCTCTTGAATTATGGAATCATAGAATAGTTCAGGTTAGAAGGGACCTTCAAAGGTCATCTAGTCCAGTTCACCTGCATGAGCAGGGACGTAGAATCATTTATAGAATAGTTAGGGTTGGAAAGGACCTTAAGATCATCTAGTTCCAGCCCCCCTTGCCATGGTCAGGGACACCTCACAATAAACCATGTCACCCAAGGCTCTGTCCAACCTGGCCTTGAAGACTGCCAAGGATGGAGCATTCACAGCTTCCCTGGGCAACCCATTCCAGTGCCTCACCACCCTTACAGTAAAGAACTTCTTCCTTATATCCAATCTAAACTTCCCCTGTTTAAGTTTGAGCCCGTTACCCCTTGTCCTATCACTACAGTCCCTAATGAAGAGTCCATCCACAGCATCCCTATAAGCCCCCTTCAGATACTGGAAGGCTGCTATGAGGTCTCCACGCAGCCTTCCCTTCTCCAGGCTGAACAGCCCCAACTTTCTCAGCTAATCTTCATATGGGAGGTGCTCCAATCCCCTGATCATCCTCGTGGCCCTCCTCTAGACCTGTTCCAACAGATTCGTGTCCTTTTTATGTTGAGGACACCAGAACTGCACACAATACTCCAGGTGAGGTCTCCAGAGAGCAGAGTAGAGGGGCAGGATCACCTCCTTGGACCTGCTAGTCACGCTCCTTTTGATGCAGCCCAGGATACAGTTGGCTTTCTGGGCTGCAAGCACACACTGAAGCTGGCTCATGTTCATTTTCTCATCAGCCAACACCCCCAAGTCCTTCTCCGCAGGGCTGCTCTGAATCTCTTCTCTGCCTGGCCTGTAGCTGTGCCGGGGATTGCTCTGACCCAGGTGTAGGACCTTGCACTTGTCATGGTTAAACTTCGTAAGGATGGCATCAGCCCACCTCACAAACGTGTCAAGGTCTTTCTATTTTACAGTTTTAGGTTAGAACTTTAGAAGGGATCTCATGGGGAATTGTCTTTACATCTAGAGGCTATAAGACATTTTGGAACTGTCATTCCAGCTTCCTGTTGTCTTTTACAGCCACAAGTGCATTTCCTTACTGTCCTTGGATGTTTCTTATGGAGTATCTGTTGCTGCAGTTGTCCCTTAGGGAGACTTCCTTTGAGTTACAGTGTAAATTAAACACTGTGAATGCAATTGTTGAATGTGTCTTACTTTTTGAACATTTTCTGTGTTATGATGGGGCAGTAAATGAAGCTTCAGTGATAAAGGTATGATAGTCTCATTTTGTATATATTCTGCAACATGTGGGTGAGACTTTTTCCATATCCAAGACCACCTTTTGCTAAAATCAACATTCATTATAGCTATTTTTTCCACTCATGTTCCTATTCATTCAAAGTCTTTTTTGGTGTTACACCTGCTAGTGAAAAATTAATATTGGTAATTTTGTTTCTGAATCTAGAAGTAGTTTAAAGCATGGAAAAGCTGCAAGCCTTGGTGCTTGGAAGTTAGTAGGGATTTGTAAACTGAAGCCTGAGAATTACTTACAGAGACTGCAGGCATATTATGAAGGTGCTCTTTATAGTAAGGAGGCACTCTTTATAATAAGGGTGGGGGAGGTACATTAGCAAGATAAACAGAAGTTCTCAGTATGGACGTATACAACTGTCTTCATACTTTGTTTTCACATCTTTCTCAGTAGTGTTGTTCTGTGCACCTGTGATTTGCAGAGAGCAGAATCTTGAGACTCAAGATCTGTCACGTATCCATGGAAGGCGACTGCTGCATTATTAGCACCTATTGAGATTTAAATCACTTGGACATTTTCTTACAGTAAAGAATCTGCATTTTATCCGTGCCAAAATACTTCAGATTATTTTGAAGCCAGGGACATGTAAAAGTACAACTTGTTTTTAAGGGAATGATGACAAGTAATGATAAACAAGGTTTGAAAAGTATGTTTTCAAATGTGTGGTTTTTAGATCAAGAACTTGACTCGTACTTTATTCCGAATTGCCTGAATCAGCAGGATTCAGTGTGGGAAGTGATGTATAACTGTGCAGCATTGACCCGTGTCCTGCATGTTCGCTGCTCAGTCAGGAAGCCTGAAGCTTAATGTCAAATGTGTGGGTGAAGCAGTTAACGAGAAAATAAGTTGTTCTACTTATGTGGTGCTGAATAGGGGCATTATCTTGGGAAAATCTGTTTCAGCGACTTGCTGTACTGTACAATACTTGTTACTTGGGACTGAACCATGAATGCAAGCTATTAGGATACAAGCTCAAGGTCAAACATTCACTCTTGTTTCTGTTATGTACTCTCTGTTCTCGAAATGCTTTCAGCAAGATTGCAGAAATAATTTTATTTTTTTTTTCCTTAGAGAATACATCTCAGAAACTTCAAGAAATGGTATAAACATTATTTTCCTACCTCTAAAACAGGATCATGAGTTAATGGAGAAGTAGATGCCATTATTTAGGTTTCCTTCTAGGACCACATAATAAATATTATTGTACATAATATTTAATGTTGCAAATCAGAGACTGACTAATTTGAGTTGTTAAAACTTTATTTTTGGACTACAAAAGGTGAGGGAAGAGTTTTACTCAATCATTTCCAAATCAACAGGAGAATGAAGATGGCAAATATTAGGACTAGATGCTGAACTTAGGCTTACATGGAAAAATGCCCTTATACATTATACATTTTTTTTAAATTGAAGTCTATTTTGTGCAGGTGTTTTTATTTCAATTGATAATTTAATGACTGCATTACCTGGTTTCTGATTTATTTGCATAATATTTTGGTGTTACAAAAAGAAAATAAATGAAAATTGTTATTTTTGTAGAGCATGCATCATGACTGTATGATCAGAAATGTATTTCAGTATTTTACTCAAAATATTTTAGGAACCCAAGAATAAGACTCTGTATTTGTATTAATAACTGTATTCACCAGGTGAAATAAATGTGTTCAATTGGGCACTTCTGTACTCATCATATGTAACGGGCTGTCCTTGATGAGAAACACTATGATTGCTTTTCAAGGACAGTAGTATCTAAAAAGTGAAAATGTGTAGGAAAAGTGTCTCTGTCAAGACTAGGTTTGCAGAAGATTGTAGGATTGATCTTCAGATCGGTGTATCATTTCACTTGTGTCATGGGAAAGAGCTTCTGATGGAAATTTTCATGTTGTCATCAGTATCTTGAAAGACAACCCATGCTTTGTAGAGCTAGGGGTCATGGATTTAATGCAGGTTTGGCTAGGACTTTCTGCTTTTGCTAAGAACTTGATTTACCGGGGAGTCAAAATAGGTTTCATGAGGGGTCATTTTCCCTTTGACAAAAATACTGTAATTTGCATACAAGGCTTATCAGAATTACTAGAATAAATAACTATTTTTGTGCAATTTTTTAATTAAAAAACATTTATAAATCTCTGCATTATAATTACATGTGTATAATAATATTTATGCAGCTGAAGCGTATGCGGGTTTATAACACAATTGAAGTGTTATGCTGCATTGAAGGATCTTCTCTGACTTGACAGAAATCTTGCTGAGGATGTTTCCAATTAAGGTAATACTTGGTTTACAATATTGAAAGGGTCTAGTTTGGATTAAGTTTAAAAGAGGAAATTTCATAAATATGATTACTTTTCCAGATGAAATTACTTGATTGCAGTAAAATTTAGAGCAAACTAAGAAAAAGGCTCTTCGTATTCATTTATATTTTATTTTGCAACAAAATATGTGTGCAACACAGACTATGATTCTGAACTAGTGATACAGTCCTCTAATTTGTGTGGCACAGAACAAGAAGAAAAACTCTAAACCAGTCCTGACTAACAGTATGTGATGACAGCATTCAGTTTTAATTCTTCGGCTGCTCGTGATTGTTATGGTACACTTGATCCCAGGATGGCCTCTAAAACCCAGAGTGGTGCCCCTCTTCTTCCTTTGGGTATTCAAACATTGCCAGCACAAAAGGCAGAAGCAAAGGCTTATTCACTAGAACTCAGGTGCCCTATGTACATGTTCAGGAACTTGTTCTTTTCCCTGGTTTCATAACTTTTTACCCATACTCCCTCTCATTCCATGAATATTTGTAGCTATCAGCTTTCTTATCTATAAGTTAAATATAGTGCTACTGAGTTTAATAAAATCCAGTGCCCATTTTGGGTTCAGCAAGATCTGCAGAATGTCATTATGATCTGGGAAGATGTATTACTAGATGGGTGAAAACAATTGTGATAGATTGATAGAGGTGACTAGTTGGTTGTAACTTACATGGAGGCTGGTAACTGGTGGTGTGCCTCACTGTTTGGAACAGATGTGTCCTGTTTTATGCTATGTGTGAATTACAAGTCAAGCAATCTGCAATTGCTCATGAAATTTGCAGTTGACACCAAACTGGGAGAAGGGGTGAGCAATGGATGTACTTGAGATAAAGGGCTGTCGCTCAGAAGGACATGGGCAGTTTGGAGGGAGCTGGCCAGCAGGAACTTTGTGAAATTCAGAACGATGAAGGCAAGGTTGTGCATGTGGGAAGAGGAGCTGCTGCAAGAGCAAGGTTCCCCTTTGTCAGACCACACCTGGAGTATTGCATCCAGACTTCGCATCCACAGACCACACCTGTCAGACCACGCTTGTCAGACCACACCTGGAGTATTGCATCCAGCTTCGCATCCACACCCCACCCTGCCCCAGTACCAAAAAGATGTGAATAAACTGGAGGAAGCTCAGCACAATGCAACCATGATGTCAAGGGGTTGTAGCACTGCCCTGTGGCAGAGGCTGAGTGAGCTGGGCTTGTTCTGCCTTATGGCAGCCTGTGCTTGCTTGCTGGCAGGACAACAGGCAGTGGTCATAAATGGAAGTAAGGGCGGTTCTAACTAGGTATAAAGGCAATGTTTTTCTCTAGGAGGATGACCAAGCAGGAGAACGTGTTGCCTGGCAAGGTTTGAAGTCTCTGGAGATTTTTGGGATCTCAGTAGATAAAGCAGCATGGTCTCACCTGATAGATGACCTGGCTTTGAGCAGCAGGTTGGACTACATGACCTCTGAAGGTACCTGTCAACTTGAATGAGTCTGTCAAGCAGTGATTCCATATCTTGCCTTGCAGTAATGATCTGTAGAGGGGAAGAACATAAACACTAAAAAATCCATGGTGCCTTCTGCTTGCATTGTGGGTAGGAACCCTCAGACATATCTGAAAATGCAGTCTTTGCTTTCTTCCTCCTTTCCCCTCCTTCAGATGATGTACTGAGCAAGAATCAGCTTTAGGTGAAGAAATGTTGCAAATAATACCCTTTAAAAAGAAGGAACAGAAAACCAATCTTCAGCCATGTTCTTGGGGTTTGCTGCTGCTTGTCCAGGGTTTGGTGCCACGCTGTTCTCTAACTTCGAGTAGCATGCTGCTTGGTGTGAGAGAGGGTGGCAGAAAACAAAGTGAAGTGGCGTTTCAGGAAGTGGATTGAGCATGCAGTCTGAAAAATGTACCTTTCTGTGCATCTGATATTGTTTGCATTGCAGCTGGTAATAGAATTTCCACTGACTTTGGGTGAGGAACTGGGCTTTGTGTATATTTTCTACTTGAACTTATGCAGTTCCTTATAATCCCATTGCTTATTATTTAGATATTTTTTTATAAGCTGAAGAATAAAATCAGTACAGTGTAGTGCTTTTACCTATGGATAAAACCAAATATACATTAAAAGAACTAATGTCCAGTCTTGATACAGCTTCATTCTATGGCTTGCAGCATGTGATGATAGGCTGTCATAATGTAAATGCCTACTTCATTCACACCCACTGTAGTCTAAAAACATTTCTTAAAAGTACCCTGCAGTTTGTGTTTCTTAGGAATGGTCTTAAATGGAGAATAAATTGTGCAAAACCCCCTAATTTTTTAATATTTTTTTTTCTGTTTAACAGAAGCTGTCTTGAGGTATGGGAGAGGGGAAGGAAATTAATCTTTTTTTCCCTGCATTCTCTTCTTTCCTTGCTTCTCTGCACCCCCAAAAGTGTCTGTATATCAAATTTCAGCCAGATTTACTTCCCGGTGGGAGTTTTATAGTTACAGCTGGAAGAAGACTCAGTTGGGCATTACACAGCAATATTCAGTAGGTGACATGAGCACAGGAGGATTTTAAACATTTATGGGCTTTGTCTTCCCAGTTTGTGGTTTGTTTTTTTTTTAATCTTATTTAAGTTGTAGGCTTTCAGGCTTTCTCAGAGAAGGGACTTTGCAGCTTGCCTGTGCGAAGCTTTTTCCATGAGTCACAGTTCCTTGGAAATCAGTCTCCTCGTTTCATTTTTCTGTTTTGTTTTAAAAAACGCTCACTGGCTCATTCTTTCTGCAGTATTGAGTGAAGAATCCCAATGTCGCTACAGTGACAGTGCACACTCCTTAAAGAGAAGGTATGTTGCCTTTACAGTTCTTAGGATGGTAGAGCTGGAAAACTTGGCAGCGTGTGCCCCTTGGGAGCTCAGTGTATAGGTCCTGTACCATGAGGCAAATGATGCTGTGCTGTATCATTGTCTTGGTGGAGTTTGCATCGATCCAGTTTCTGTTACCTGTTTTCTATTGTACAAGTAATGACTCCTGGAAAATAGTTTTGATCAAGTGGAAATGCAGATGTTGATCAGTATTTGTATTCCCGTAGCTGAGAACTGGTGGTTTGTTGTTTGTCCCACAATTAGAGGAAACTATTGAATGAAATCTGATGTGCAGCCGTAGCTGAGAAGCCTAGCCGTGAAAGCAGGAGTTACCAGAGGTAATGAGAGGGGAAACTGAGTCACAGAGAGAAACACTGGTTTTCTTCTGTAGTCTTTGGACAAGCATACAGGCATCTTTGTTTCTTCGCTAAAGCTGCCTGTTGCTGTGGGATTTTGATTTTAGTCTAATGGATGCCAGGCTACTAGCCTCTTTTACATGGGTATTAGCACTCTCAGATTGTAAGGTCTGCTGTGGGACACTGCAGGCTTCCACTTCATTCCATGGAAGTCTGACTAGCTTTCATGGCCCAAGGTGAGGGCTGAAATGTGGAAAATTTGGTATGTGTTGAGGATCTGTCCTTGGGGATCATTTTGTAATCAGCTGATCCTGGTTTCGAGTGTGAGTGCCATTTCAGGTCTGATTCCTTCAACTGCATGGGACTTCTCTCTGGGAAAGGAGCAGTTTGAGTCATTAAATGGAGGTTATACTACCTTTGAGAAGTAAGTTTTATATGGGGAAAAGAGCTCTGCATTTTTATAACCCCTGTCTCACATCCAGTATATCAGGGCAGTTGTTCAGTTTTCAGATTCATAGTTTTATAATGCAGTACACATGAGCATAATAATAGCTCACGTGTTTCACGTTTAATAGGTTATATTTTCTATTTGCAGTTTCTAAATTCCTTTGGAACAAAATTTTAGTATTGTTTCTTAAAAGCACATAGCTGTTCAATTTCCTAAATATATTTAGGTTAAAGTAAATAACATCTACTCAATGGTCATGGCATTGCATCTGGAATTCAGTACTCACTCTTGGGTCCCAGCACAAGTGGCAAACTGAAACCAGGCCAGTGATTGCCACCACCATGTTTGTGTTAGGGAATAGGTCAAAAGAGGCTCAGGGAACGGGGTTTGTGTTGTTTAGAGAAGAAAGGCATGAATGGGAGCATTCTCTGCTTCCGAAGGTGGGCTTGAAAATAAGGTAGAGTCAGGTTTTCTTCAGGGGTGCACACCAGGAGAATGAGAGGCAATGGCTGCAAGCTGTTGTAAGGGTTATTCCAGTTGGACATAAGGGAAGAACTCTTTCCAGAGTGTCTGAAAAGCACAAGAGTGGGCTGCCCAGGGAGAGGGTGAAATCTCTGCCTTCGTTGGGTTTCAGAACTAGTGTGGAAAAAGCATTGAGCAACCTGATCTATTTCTGAAGACACCTGTGCTACCCATATGTGAGAACATTCAAAGGTCCCTTCCAGCTTCATTTGAGCTGTAATTTCTATGATAGTTTTTTGAATGCACCTCTGTAGCTATGTGGTGTGTAACTGGTTTAGCAGCAGAATCTGTGGGGAAACCACTTGAATAACAAATGCAAACTGTGCCATATGCTGCTAGTCAAGTTAAATCATTTATCTTAATCTTGATTTAAATATCTTCGACTAGAGTTGGTTCCCCTGCCTCTCCATAGAAGAGTGAAAAACTTCTCTTTGAAATATGGTGCTGTCAGAGATCATTCATGAACGAGCTGTCTGCTACTTAAAATGGCAATTATTTTTATGGCCGGTACTACAGGAGTGTACAACACCAAGCTCTTTTTGCTGTTGCAGTGTTTTCCTCAGCATCTAAAAAGTAGAGAAAAATATGTGGAACTTCAAGATGAATTAATGCAATGTATAAGTCAACACCTAAGGCATTCTTAAGTGAGAAATTGTATCTTTCTTCTTGTGAATAACTGCACTGTTCAGATGGGAGCAAGCAGGTCAGCGCCTAGGGCTCTAACACTGGCTCTGTGTCCTTCCTTGACACAAATCTTGTGTAATTTGAAGCATGTCACTGTGAGCTAGATCAAAATAGAAAACAAGCTGAAAACTGCCATAGCTCTGCATGTTGTTAGCGAGGAAGAAACGGATTTTAAAAGTCATTGTTGAAGTTAACTTCCATGGGTGTTTAGAAATTTGCACCCTACATTTAAATAAAAATATGGCCTTTTAGCTACTCTTACAGATGTATTTGGAAGAGATGTTGAGACTAAGCATCATGTTTCCTGGTTATTGCATGTTTCATGCCTGAAAATCTATGTTGCACTGATGATGCAAATTTAAATGAATACAGAATAGCTTTTTCTTCAGACGATAATTTTCCCTCATTTTGGCTGACAGTTTTGGTGTGGCAAGGCACATTCCAGACATTTGTAAGCAGGAACACGCCTCTGAGCTCTGCAGATGTAAGTTGCAGAGCGAATCTTTAGAAGGGGCTCTGTAAATGGAAGCCTGTAATGCAATATTTTATGTTATAGACAGATGTTGTAAATCTGGATGAATCCTTTCTGAGCCTTGGCTCTGAAGGTACTTGATTTTGTCTGGATTAAAAATTTACTTAAATATTAATTATTAGATTTATTAATTATTAGATTTAAAAATTAACAAAGCTTTAGACAATTTAAGAGGAATGTTGTATGTTCAGAAAATGCAGGTTGTTATAACTTGTCTCATCATATGAGGATCTTGAGCTGTCAGAGTTATCCTTCCTGGCATGTCTGCCCTGATGATTTGGCCTTGCATGCTTGATGTCAGGGAGGTAAATTGCCTGGTACCTTCTAAGAGTGGATCCTTTTTTGAGGCACTTCCTTCTATTCACTGCCACATCTTCTGTAAGTGACAATTGATTTGATGCCTGTATCCGAATTCATTTATAGAATCATAGAATGGTTAGGGTTGGAAAGGACCTTAAGATCATCAAGTTCCAACCCCCCTGCCATGGGCAGGGACACCTCATACTAAACCATGCCACCCAAGGCTCTGTCCAACCTGGCCTTGAACACCACCAGGGATGAAGCATTCACAACCTCCCTGGGCATCCCATTCCAGTGGCTCACCACCCTAACAGGAAAGAATTTCTTCCTTTTATCCAATCTAAACTTCCCCTGTTTAAGTTTTAACCTGTTATCCATTGTCCTATCACTACAGTCCCTAATGAAGAGTCCATCCCCAGCACCCTTGTAGGTCCCCTTCAGCTACTGGAAGGCTGCTGTGAGGTCTCCACGCAGCCTTCTCTTCTCCAGGCTGAACAGCCCCAACTTTCTCAGCCTGTCTTCATACAGGAGGTGCTCCAGTCCCCTGATCATCCTCGTGGCCCTCCTCTGGACTTGTTCCAACAGTTCCATGTCCTTTTTATGTTGAGGACACCAGAACTGCACACAATACTCCAGGTGAGGTCTCTAGAGAGCAGAGTAGATGTGCAGGATCACCTCCTTGGACCTGCTGGTCATGCTTCTTTTGATGCAGCCCAGAATACGGTTGGCTTTCTGGGCTGTGAGTGCACACTGAAGCTGGCTCATGTTCATTTTCTCATTGACCAGCACCCCCAAGTCCTCCTCTGCAGGGCTGCTCTGAATCTCTTCTCTGCCCAACCTGTAGCTGTGCCTGGGATTGCTCTGACCCAGGTGTAGGACCTTGCACTTGTCATGGTTAAACTTCATGAGGTTGGCATCAGCCCACCTCACAAGCATGTCAAGGTCCCTCTGGATGGCATTCCTTCCCTCCAGCGTATCAACTGAACCACACAGCTTGGTGTCATCGGCAAACTTGCTGAGGGCGCACTCAATCCCACTGTCCATGTCAGTGACAAAGATGTTGAACAAGACCGGTCCCAACACCGATCCCTGAGGGACACCACTCGTTACTGGTCTCCAGCCGGACATTGAGCCATTGACCACCACTCTTTGTGTGGACCATCCAGCCAGTTCTTTATCCACAGAGTGGTCCATTCATCAAATTGATGTCTCGCCAATTTAGAGACAAGGATGTTGTGTGGGACAGTGTCAAACACTTTACACAAGTCCATGTAGATGACATCAACTGCTCTACCCCTGTCCATTAGTTCTGTAGCCCCATCATAGAAGGTCACCAAATTTTTCAGGCAGGTTTTCCCCTTAGTGAAGCCCTGCTGGCTGTCACCAAGCACCTTGTTGGTTTTCATGTGCCTTAGCATGCCTTCCAGGAGAATCTGCGCCAAGATTTTGCCAGGCACAGAGGTGAGACTGACTGGTCTGTAGTTCCCTGGGTTTTCTACTTTTCCCTTTTTGAAAATGCGGGTTATATTTCCTTTTTTCCAGTCGTTGGGAACATCACCTGACTGCCATGATTTTTGAAATATGATGGACAGTGCCTTAGCAACTTTATTTGCCAGCTCTTTTAGGACTCACAGATGGATTTCATCAGGACCCATGGACTTGTGTACGTTCAGGTTTTTAAGATGGTCTTGAACCAGTTCCTCTCGTACAGTGGGCCTAGGGTCATCATTCTCACAGTCCCTGCATCTGCGTTCCAAGACCTGGGGAGTTTAGTTTATTATTTCTCCACTGTTCCTTGAATTTCAGTATGTCCTTCAACTTACTCTTTTATACTTTGACTATGGAGACTTTCCAAGGGCTAGAGCTATTCCGTGTGCTGTAGCCAGCAGGTGTGGTAGCTTCTTGAGGTTAGTATCTGTGAGCTGTGCAAGAGTAGGACAGAAAATTCAGCTTTGTTTCTTCCACTGTCTGGGACAGCTTTTGGAAACTTACTTTACCCTCTCAGCCTTGTTCTGAAATGTTTTTGACTCTCAGTGTCTTGAGTTAGAGTGAAAATAGGTTTGAAGCGGAGTGTGTGCATTGCTCAGCATAACAGGTACAGTCTTTCCTTCCAGATGACACTAGAATATCACCATTAATTATATGTATAAAATGTATACTTAAAGCTCGTGATTTCTGTTTGCCAAATAGAGAAAAGCTTTATTGAAACTGATGAGTTTCCTAGATTTTTTATCCCTCTCCTCTTCATGAAGATTTTGAAACAGCGTATGTACTCCAAGCAGGCACTAAAATAACATGTTCTAGTGATCTGCTTGTGATTGTCACAATGGGAGCTGCAGAGTATCAAATAGTTTTGAAAACCTCATCTTTCTTCAGCTGGCTTATTGAGATCATTAAAAGAATTGGCTCCAATACTGAGGGCTGTGTAAATAAAAAATTGCACTAAATGTATTTTGAAGCCAGAAGCTAGGCACATTTCCTCTCTTCCATAATGATATTAGCTAATAGGTATGAGCTTGGCCAAACTGAAAAGGAGTGTCTCAGTATTTGGAAACTGTGTTAATCTACAAACATGTTCCCTTCATTTCTGCAGGGTTTTTCAGTCTGCTAAAGGCACAGTGGATATACTAGGATGGACACAGAGGAATTCCCTCCACCACCACCAGAAGGTAATTGCAATTGCTTGGGGTTTAAAGCCAATTTTCTTGTAACCATTTGATAAGATTTCCAAAACTGTTTTACCTCCCAAATCTCCATTTCCCCGTATCATCTTAAGACTTGGTCACAGTGATATTTTATTGAAACATGAGCTCCGGTCGTCTACTCTGTCTTGTTCTTGGACCTTGCTTGCTGCTGTTGTGAGAACATGATGGAAGAAACCTGGGGAACGACTTGTCCTTATAGTCCAAATCTGCAAATACATGTTTTCTGAGGCAACATGTGTGGACCACATCATCGCACCTTTGTCGTGTGCTGTGGCATTCTCAAGTGTTCATGCACGTGGTACCCTGTAGAGAAAAAACAAGTGAAGCCTTTGGCATGGGCAGGATATTTGGACCTGTGTTTCAAATGCCTGGATAGGTTTGGAGCCTGAATTGAGAGGAGAGAGAGGAGTAAGTTGTTTTCTGTTAGGGCATATGCTGCTTCAGCCAAGCATACTTTAATCTGGGCAGTGCCTGCTAAGGGCAGTAGCTGAAGGACCTTCTTCTGATGTTGCTGTTCTCTAGCCACAAGCATTCCCACGGGAAGCAGAGGGGGAACATGCACAGCTGAACCTCTGTGAGGTAGAACACAGATTTTTGGGAGAGTATTATGTATGCTGGACTGTGGAGCTGGTTCTGTAAAGTTAGTACTCAGCACCCCTTGCCTTCTATATGCTGATAGCTGTATGGCCACTGTATGGCCACTGGCACGGCCCAGGTTTCAGAGGCATAAAGGCAGGATCTACAAAGATGCTGTGTCATTGTCTTCAGTGTTTATGCTCTCTCTAGGAGAATATTGCATGTGGCAGTTTTTTCCTGTTTGATTTCCTGTAAACACACCTTCGTGGAGGGCTTGTTATTCATTTTAAATCTTAAAAGCATTTGGCTTCTGGTAGGTAGATGCTGGGAGACTTCTTAGGAGAAGTATTGTATGATCATCCCAAAGCACAATGTTATGGAGACATGAGTTTTGCAGGCCTGTGGTTGAACCTGGTACAGCTATTCCTATTTTGGTAAAACTACTAGCACAGTTTGTACAAGTAGTGAGTGACTTTCTCATAAAGTTTTGATCTGTCCCTTATATGCGACATCATTACTTATGGACTTTCACTCTATTATATATATTGGTATATGTGTGTATACATATAAATAATATACATTATTGCTTATAAGACATTTTACTTGTTGTTCACACAGAACTTATACCTATGTGAAGCCACTTAAGTATGAAAGAGGGTTTATCTTAGTTTTGTTGTTAGGAATTTGGGAATTTCCATCATAGGTCAAAACTGCTTTCTCTCTGTCTTAGACGCTGCTACAGATGGAGATCTTGTACTAGACGCTACCTGGGAAATTTGGAATATGAGAGAAGCAGGAAGTTATGAAATCAGCTTTTAATGGGTTGGATTTCTGGCCAGCCTTATGTACAGTTTTGTCAATAACCTCAATGAGATATCAATGAGATATCATTGAGGTTATTGTTGACAAAAAAGCTTTTCCTGTCCTTACCCTAATCCTTGTGGTCAGGACCCTGAATTTAGCTCTGTTTTGTCTAGTGACAGTTACTGTGAAACTGTTTCTGTTGGGTTATCCATCTCCAAAGCAATGTAGTGCAGTGGGGGAAGAGGCATCCCTAAAGAATCAATATTTCCACTTGAGCAGGGGCTGCCATATTTCAAAGACAGCTAATAATTGCAGCAGCAGCTCTAGCTTTCTGCAGCGTGTCAGTGTGTGACTCTGACAGAAACCGAGTGATGTAGTTCAGTATGATTCCAGAATTTATGTTCTTTCTTTGCAAAGCCGTTTGTAACATGCTGACCTATGTGTATTGTGTCCTTACCTTCAGAAATGTCACTCCTTAATAGGCTGTTAAATAAATAATTTATTTAACATAAATAGAGATTCTGCTCTACCTGATCTTGTGTCAGAGGATGCTTTCCCTGTCATCTCAAAAAGCTTTGAAACTATTGGAACTTGTAGGTTGTGGTTTTTTACTTTACCATTGCTAGGTTTCTTAAAACATATTAATAAAGGGGATATCAGTGAATGTAAGTTTTAATAAGGATACTAAAATGCACTCTCATGAGCCGTTTTGCAGGTGGAAAATAAGCGAGGATTTCAGGGCCAAGTACAAACGCAAATACGCATAACAATTAAAGGAAGGAAACATGCGGGATGTTTGTAATGGTTGAGGGACTTTTTTAGCATGCATAGACACTGGCAGCCCATAGTTTCTGCTCAGAAGGGATGAGCAGCAGAAGCCAGTGCTATCTGAGGGGTGGGTGCATGGGTGGGGTATTGTGGCTCATAGTGAGGATGAGGCTTATGTTGGGGGCAGGACCCAGCATCATAAAAAACTATTTTTAACTTTTACATAATCATTTAAAAATCCTGAACTGGGGCCATAAATGAAATCAATGTGGCTTTTGGTTTTGGGGGGTCTTTTGGTGTGAGGTTTTTTTTTGGTTGGTTGGTTGCTTTGGCTTTTTTTATTTATTTCTTGTGACCTCACGGGATTTTTTTTCTCTTACCTGTTTGTTCTAACAAATCTAGATGCAGTGTTGAAAGTCACACGGGTTCCTTTCCAGTTACAGGTGTATACCTTGAACTGTAAATCTCAATTTTATTCTTGTCAAGTGGGTTTCTACAGTTTTAACAATTCTGTAAACTTATTTGTATCAATCCTAATGTATCTGAAGGGGAAAAATAATGGTAAGCCTTGAACTTTGCCGTGGGGATGTTGTGAGAATGTCTATGAAAGCTCTGAAATTAAATTCATGTTAAATAATGTCTTTTCATTAACAATAACTGTCTGAATCTATACCTTGTTTCAGCTAAGGTACAGTTAGAGTCAGTAGCAGGGCTTCTTCTTCCACTTCTTGATTGGGAAAAACTACATGAGCTAAAATAATGGAGTGGAATAACATTTTACCTTTATTTAATTAATTTATTATGCTTACACAACATACCTGCTCATAGCTGTTTGGACATTCCATTCATGCATTGTTAACTAGGCAGTGGCAAGTCTGTGCTAGTTAATTCCACTACCCCACAGCAAAGTAAAGTACTGAGTAACATTAGAAAAATTAATGCCCTTATGCTCCTTCCTCCAGGCTACTTTAAAGAGTTGTTTCTTCTAGCTGTGATTAAAAAATCCCTGATATTTTTCTCTGTATATTTTGAATGGATTTATTTGTTAACAACCCTGGAGCAGTTGGATGGGGGGTAGATGCAAAGACTTCCTTGACTAACAGCATAATCCAAAAAAAACCCCAAACTTCTAAAATTGACACTTGAGATGGTAGTACTAGTTTGTGTTCCCTTCTTTAGCGCGTCTGTGCATATAAATGTATGCACAAAGTGCTGGTATTTAAGATTTCATACATTGTATGATGTGCAAGTGGAGACCAGTGGTAAGTGGCATTGCTCAGGGGTCGTTACTGGGACTGGTGCTTTTCGACATCCTTGTTGGTGACGTGGACAGGGGGACTGATGTACCCTCAGCAGGTCTGATGGTGACACCAAGCTGCATGGTGTGATCAGCACGCTGGATGGAAGGGATGCTATACAGGGGGACCTGGACAGGCTCAAGATGTGGGCCAATGTGAATCTCATGAAGTTCAACAAGACTAGCTGAAAGGTCCTGCATGTGGCATGTGCCTCATCCGTGGTAGTGCTCAAGGCAAGGTTGGATGGGGCTTTGAACAACCTGATCTAGTGAAAGGTGTCCCTGCCACAGGCAAAAGTGTTGGAACTACATGATCTTTAAGGTCCCTTCCAATCCAAACCATTTTATGATTCTAGAAGAAAAAGTCCATGGCTATTTTGTAAAATAGAGGACAGTTCTAGTATTCTCAGCAACAACAATGAAATAATAGTTTTTAAAAAGTTAAATGAAAATGGCAAATCTTATCATAGCTGTAAGTTATAATTATGTTTGTAATTGGTTGCTCTAATGGTGTGTCCTTAACCAAACCCCTTTAGACAAGAAAAGGGTATGGTGTGCTCTGCAGACTAAGCAAGGAGGAATTAAAAAGCTGACAATTCCAAGAATCAGGAATCATACTGTGCTGCTTCTGTAGAGGAATAATCTGCACTAGCTAGAACTGGAGCCTGGATGTTTAATGGTAGGATGGTGCTTATATGTGATAGTCTGTGCTTGTGCTGTTACTGCTTTATTAGGACATGTAGTCTCTGTCTGTTTTTCATTACTTTAAAAGCATCTTAGTATCTTGCAAAGTGGAAGCCCTTTTCTTTAGGTATGGGCGTGAGGTGTTCATCAGGGCCTGTTTCAAAAGGAAAACCAGCTTTCTTTGCTCAACAGGATGGATGCCTGACAAACAGATTCTTGCCTAAGGGAAGCTGGGGTAGGGTGTAATCTCTGTGTCACATAGGCTTCTGGTTTTGCATTTTCGTCTCTGAACATGTCTGTTTCTCTGTTTTTGGTACATGGCACTACATCTTGTATGATTTCTCTGTGAAAAGTATTAGAAAATCTTGGATGCCTTTCCTCATACTGAGTATAATTGTGAAGAATTCATCTCAGTTTTCCTACACAGAGTTGCCTTTTACAGTTGCAAGACCTAAAATAAGCTTTAAGCTTTGTTTTATAATTGAGTCTATCAAGGTAAGCTAGTATATAGTGATGAGATTTGGAGTATGGATGCATCACAGTATAGTTCTTGAATTCTGAACAAATAGTATACTTTTCTCATAGGAATTAACATATTGTTTATATTTTTTAATTGAAATCCTGAAATTTTAGTGTCCGTACAAGGACATTGTGAGAATTAATTTGATAGCAGAGTCTTCGTATTGCTGCCAAATACTCTCTTCACCTGAGAGAGAATCACTTGTAACTCTTCATTTTGGAAGTATGAGGTGCCCTTAAAGACCAGGTCTGATGGAGTGCTGATGTTCACTCACCCACACCGATGTCCCAAATACCATGGGTCAAGTAAGTGAGA